TCTACAGCCGTTAGCGGGCGGGCCCCCCCCCGGGGTCCCCCCCCCGCCGTAACGGACTATGATTTGTCACAGAGCAGTAAGGCCCTCACACATCAGTAAAACCCTGCGGGGAGGTGGGCCAGATCCGGAGCTGGTACAAGTCAGCTCCCCTCTAAACAGTGGGGCTTCCTGCCTTACACCACTGCACTCAGGTACACGGCTCTGACTGCAGCAATGGGGGAGGTGAGCACTTCAGATACTCTGGTTTACAGGCGGGTCTATTAACCTGTTTTGTACACTAAAGTCCCCCACTGTTCTTATTACCCTACCACTATTTTAAAATAAAATAAAGAAAATAAATGAATGCCTGTGACTCTACTATTCCACTGGTTTGTGCCCAGCTGCCCTGGTAAAAAAGCATCTCCTCTCCCACATATGCCTGAAAGAAGGGCCCATCTCTTTGTGTTGCTGCAGAGATATAGGGTGAAGTTGCCTTTAAAGATCACCCCCCTTTGGGTGAGGAAGTGTTGTTAAGCAGGACAGGATCGAGGTTCATTTGTTTTTGGCCTCACTGGAGGAACAGTCATTTAAATAATTTGCCCAAGTATTAGATCTGTCTCTGAATTCACAAAGAAGAACAAGCCCCACGTCATCCCTGACTCCGCCTAAACGAGCAAAATAAATGAGCAAAATAACACGCATGTGCCCAGCAGCACAAGGGACCGGTGTGTCCCCCTTCCCCATGGCCTGAGTTCGTGAGCACTTCCCCTGCATTTGGGACCGCTGAGCGCTGAGAGCACTGGGGGCACGCGGGGCTCTCGGTAAGCACCCCGGCCCCCCGTGCCAGTGTCCTGGAGGGGCTGCCGTGATTTATGGAGCAGCCGTTAGGCTATGGCCGTGAGATGCAGCCCTGACCATCACATGCTGCAGATGACAGCACCTCCACTGTGAGGGACGACACGTCACGCAGCCTGACACGCTCCTCAGCTGTTCACCTGCCTTCCCACCATCGAAAACCCAACAGACTTGTTTCGAAGAAACAGTTTCTTATGTAACAGGAATGATGCAATCAAAAGGCAGCTCTCCCTGAACGGGGCTGGGTTACAAACAGGGGTGTTCACACAGCTGAAAAGACCCTAAACACATCAAGTCAAGCAAATAAGCCTATATGGCATTGTTGTGGTTTAACCTCAGTTGGCAGCTGAGCACCACACAGCCGCTCGCTCACTCCCCCGCCCCTGGTGGGACGGGGGAGAGAATCGGAAGAGTGAAAGTGAGAAAACTCGTGGGTTGAGATAAAAACAGTTTAATAATTGAAATAGAATAAAATCCTAAGAATAAGAATAATAATATACAAAGCAAGTGATGCACAATGCAATTGCTCACCACCCACTGACCGATGCCCAGCCAGTCCCCGAGCAGCAGCCTCCCCCTGGCCAACTCCCCCCAGTTTATGTACTGAGCATGACGTCACATGGCATGGAATGTCCCTCTGGCCAGTTTGGGTCAGCTGTCCTGGCTGGGCCCCCCCCCAGCTTCTTGTGCACCTCCAGCCTTCTCAGTCGGTAGAGGATGGGAAGCTGAAAAGTCCTTGACTAGTGCAAGCACTGCTCAGCAACAACTAAAACATCGGTGTGTTACCAACATTGTTCTCATCCTAAATCCAAACCACAGCACTGTACCAGCTACCAGGAAGAAAATTAACTCTATCCCAAACGAAACCAGGACAGGCATATAGGTTATACACCAAAAGACAAGAGATGAAGGCAATACCTTCTCAAAAACATCAGAAACTCCTCCGTGGCCAACTTAAGCTGCTCTGACACCAGGTCACAACCTGGCAGAGTGCACTGCGGGATGCCGCTTGAGCCAGCGTCCAGCCACCATCTTGGGAACGGCCATGCAAAAGCCGCATCCAGCCCGTAGCCTTCGTTCAAACATCTCTCCCTGAGAAATGCCCTGTCCGTGAGCCTGCACCACTGCCTCTGCCACATGCCAGCCCTGCAGCACCACTGTGCCCGCTGCCTTCTGCCAGGCGCCAACGGGGCTGAGGTTTCCTCCGCAGGGAGAGAAATCCCAGCCCTGTTTCAGGTGTGTCATCACTTCCAGGAAATATGCAGGGGAAAGGGTTTCTGAGCTGAGCTGGTGAACGTTATCTCCTCTAACAGACTTCAAAGTCATCAACATTTCTAGACACTTGACTTCAGAGGCTCCTATCCTACAGAAAAGAGCTTCTCGACAGCCCCTTGTGGGTCTGTATTACACTGCGACATCTTTTCCTTCCTGAAGCTGTGTTTTGATGGGAGAAGTGGGCATTTACTGGCTTTCACCACAAATCAGTTCTTTGTTATGTCTGGGCCATCTGTGCTTTCTTTATGTCAAACTGTTTTCATTTCCCCCTAAAAACAAAAGTCCATCCTATGTGTCACTGCACCAAGTATCAACTCTCCAAGAGACAGGAGGCAGATGAGTGTCTCACGTATCACTGGCAGCTCTCCCAACACTGTGCAACAATCACAAAGTCATGAGGGCGACTTTATAATTCCAGCTCTTGTTTCTTGTAAAAAACGTCATCTAAAATTACCGCAAGTGCAGGTAAGCATGTCCCGGTGCGTGTCAGCCAGCGACACGCCGTGCAGGCACTGCGCTGCCACGGGGAGGATCGAGCAGGAGGAGGGCAGCCGTAAGTCGGAAATGGCACATGATACGGGCCAGCTTGTTTCCCTATGGCTTGTTCGAGGACAAGGTCACCACCACCTTGAATAATAACACAGCACTGTGTCAGAAGCATCTCCTGGTTAAGACAAACCCATCCCTCCATGTCTTTGTGCCCACCACAAGCACACCCCATCCCTCCACCTCTTCTTCCTCAGCACAAGCAGCCCCCCCCCTCCCCCCCCCCGGCCCCCCCACCACAAGCACAGACCACCCTCCCATCTCTCCTTGCCTAGCGCAAGCCCACCCCACCCCTCCAGCTTTTCATGCCCAGAGGATGCAAACCCTATCCCTCCACCTCTCCTGGCCCACCACAAGCCCATCGCACGCCTCCATCTCCTCTTACCTAAGCACAGCACATCCCTCCACCTTTTCTCCCCCAAGCGCGCCCCATCCCTCCATCTCC